CTAGGCACCAATCCACTATATGTGTTATCTCTCCTTATTAGGCAGTAAGCTCTCTAAGGGTTAGGGCAGTTTCTCTTTTGTATTTGCATTCTCAGCCCTCACCATGATCTCTAGAACATAGTAAGCACTTACTGAGTTAATTCAAGTGCCAGGATTATCAAAGTTATGACACTGTTCTAGAAAGTCCTCCAGAGCTGCCTTTATTGACAGATTTTTAAAAAAAATTGTTATATTTCGATGTGACATTACCTTTATTCCAATATAAAATATATATTGCTCCCTTCTCTTTCTCTTATCTATTGTTCTCCTTTATCCCTTGTAAAAAAAAGAAAAGAGAGGGAATAAAACAGTACAGCAAAATTAGCCAATGTATCTTAGTCTAAGAACACAGAACTTCGCAAAAAATGGAGGGATAATTTTTTTTCTTCTTTTCTCAGCCCCATATACCACCTCACTCCAACCCTCTGAGCTTCACCCAAAGAACTTCATATTTTTTTTCTGGGAAAACAGGTCATTTGCCTTGAGCTCCCTAAACCCTTGTTCTCTGCCTTTTGTAATTCCTTGACATGGTCTTATATATTCTTCTATGTTAATCTGATGATAAACTGACCTTTCTCCTTGTCAGGGCCAAAAAGTTTATATGTACCCTTAATGACAATTCTTCCCATCTTTTCTGAAAGATTTTGTGCACATCATCTTTTTTTCTCTTTCTAATCTTCAGTGTCTTCTGTTATCTAGAAACATGCCTGAGTATCCCTCATCCCAACATTTATTAGAGTCATCCTACATCTACCCTTACCTTTCTCAAACAATGAGAAAATGATATCTGTATCCCTTGCCTTAGCTACTCACCTGTTACTCACACAATCTGACTTTCAACATGCTCACTCATCAGAAATTGTTCTCTCTAAAGTTGCCAATAATTTTTAATTGCCATTTCTGTGGTGTTTCTTAAATATTTGTTTATTTATCAATTTATTCAGTCAGCCATTCATTTGTTTATTTATTCATTCATTTACTCATTCATTGTTTTACATATATATATGTACATATATACACATGCATACATACATACACACATACACACACACACACACACACACACACAAAATCATCGATATAAAGCCCCTTAAATGTAGAAGGGCCACAAGACTCTAATCTTACATCTTCCCATTTTACATATTCTCTTGTTGACCTCTTCAATTCTATAGGCTTAATTATGATCTATATGCAGATGATTCTGAGCTCTATATATTCAGCTATATACTCTCTCCTGAGTTGCAGGCCTGCATCATCAAATGCCTATTTTCATTTTGTACTGGATGTCCCATAGACATTTCAAAATAATGTTCAAATCAGAATTCTTTTTTACTTGCAAACTAAATTGCATCCCATTCTTCCAGCCATGCAGGTTCATAAACCTTGGTGTTATCCTCAGCTTTTCTCTCTCACTCCTCACATCCAATCAGTTGCCAAATTGTGTCTTTTGTACTTTTGTAACTTCTCTTATACCCGCTACTTTTCTTTCTATCCATAGCACAACCACATTTGTTCAAGTGTCCATCATCTATCACTCTTCGCTTGCAGTGTTACAATAGCTTCTTAATTGTTTTCTGTAGCCTAATGTTACATCCTACTCTAATTTGTCAGTCACATAAGAACCAAAATGATTTCATGAGCCTCAGGTATAACCATATCAGTCCTTTACTCAGTAAGATCCATCAGACCCCCATTACATCTAAAATCAAGTATAAACTCTGTTTTACACTTAAACACTTATTCACCTTGTCACTTATCCTTATTAAACATTATTCTCTTTCATATACACAACAGTCCAGTCAAACCAGCCTTTTTCGTGTTCTGTATGCCCCCAAATTAATTAACATCCCCATTCCTCTATATTGACAGCCTCCCATGCATGGAATATAATGTCTTCATAAAATCCACAGATATACTGTGTGTGAACACATGTGTAGATGTACACATATATGCATGTATTATACATGCATGTGTATGTTTCCATGTGTGGGTCGGTACATACAAGCACATTTAAGCATATATGTCTATGTGAACATGTATATATGCATGTGCAGGTATGTGCATATGTGTACATATATGTATGTATGTATGTATGTATGTTTGTGTTTGTATACATTTAAAATACATGATGTATCTCAGAAAACGGTATGTTCCTTAAAAATTCAGCTTGAACATCACCTTCAACATGAAGCCTTTCTGAATCCCTATGTGAGCTGCTACTCACATCTTTCCTAAAATCAGCTTTTATTTTTTTCTATATACATATGTATTTAAACACTTATGTAAGAAATAAAGGATTCTAAGTAGAGATGAAATAAGAGTTTATTCTAGGCATGGGCTAGAGAGAAGCCACTATAATTGCAGGGACAGGAGGTGAAATATCAAATATACGACAATAAAAATAACAGTTTGAACATTAAAGTGAGAGAAGGTTCAGTAATGTAGAATTATTTCACCTTTTTGTGTGTATTACTAGTGTGCATTACCAGTATGCAGTTTCCTGTATTGGAAAGAATCAAAATGCTTTTGCTTAAATCTTGAACCTGCTATGTTCTACTATTTCATATATTTGTACAAGTTATTTCATGTCTTTTTGCCACCCCTTCCTCATCTGTAAATGAGTGGGTTGGAATAGCAGACAGAGATGTCTTAAAATTGTAATATCCTATGAGCCTATACAGTCATTCCAATGGATGTGTATTTCTGTTTATTTGTATTCTTTGTATTTGTTTCTCTGATTGGGGCGTTCTCTGAATGGGGCAAGTATTGTGCCCCATTAGTTTGAAAGCTGACTGAAAAAGAAAAAAAAACAAAGATTTTCTTTTAGCTTTATTTTTGTATTCCTGTGCTGTGGAGTTTGGCCTTTGAGATGAGTAAATATCTATCGTTTCTCAGAATCACTTTCAGAAACTGAGAGATCTTCCACTGAGGGTCTCCTGGTACCATAGGGCCCTTTTCTGACTGTTAGTTTGCAAAAGGTTTTGGTTTTGATGAAAGTCCAATCCCTCTACTACTAACATTAGAGAATGTTATTACTAAGTAGTTTGACACATTCTGTGCATTTGAAACAGACTGAATCATATTTTCTTAAAAATATTTATTATGTAATTTAAGTATTCCCTAATTCAAACTAACCCAATTAGTTTAAAATAGAGAAGCTTTCTAGGTAATTGGGAGGTCACTTCGAATTGATTGAGATCCTAAATTTATTTGATAAGGAAAAAAGACAAACTTAATCTATGATCTTGAACTTCAAGAATTTATGACAAATGTTCACACTGCCAATATGCATCAGTAGAATGCCAAAAGTGTCCCTGACATAAAATGGTTAAGACCACTTCTCTAAAAGATGGCTAAGAAAATTAATTGACATAATCTCCAGTTTTGTCACTTCTTATGCTCTTTATTAGACAAAACATTAATTCTATTTAGCAACTGCTTGATATTGATTTGATTTGATATCTGATATTGAAACAATATTGAATGAAGTGGGTATAAGAGCCAAAATCCCATATTTGGTGGCAAATATCACATGCATCCATAATTTCTTTATTGCTATATAGAATAATTTATTAACTCCGAAAGTAATATACCATTTTGAAAATACTTCAGTTGTAATGCAATTCTTTTTTATGATGTAAATTGGGATATAATAAAGTGTGTGCAAATTCTAAAGCAGATTTTGGTTCTCTACCAGGATAACAGATTATAATCTATAACCCTTGCTACTCCTTGTTTTTATTGAATGTATCAATGATACTTTTGCCCCTGCGAAGCTCCATTTATTTCAGCCATTGACCTGTCTTCAAGAGGCTTCAATACTTTCTTGTCATTGTTGCTGATTTTTTTTTTTCAGAATCTTGCTTTGCATTGAGAGTGTCTCCAAAACCTTGGGAGATGGTAACTTTTATTATAATTCCCTGGTCATGACAGGCACTTTAAAATTCAACTGAATAAGTATTTATTAAAGTCCTATTATTATATGCAAGGCACAATATAATCAATCTTTTACGGAGTTTCATTTTCCTGGGAGTGCAACTGAAGATACACATGTACACAGATTTTTTAAAAAAGTATATAAGAACTCTAGAAAGGTAAAAGAACTAATAATAAATGAAGAAGGTGATGTGCTAAGGTCAATTTGCTTAATTTAATTGTAGTGAAGAAAGATGTCATCAGCTCTACAGGATAACAATAACATCTTGGCTCTATAAATTATTCCAGGGTTTGAACACACATTGTAATTGATATTTAAGTAGTACTTTCAACTTTGCAAAGTACAGAAACTAGGTGGTGCAATAGATAGAACACTGTCCTGGAATCAAGAAGACCTGAATTCAAAATCCAGCCCCAGACACATACCAGCTGTGTGATCCTGGATAAGTCACTCAACCTGTCTGGCTCAGTTTCTTCACACGCAAATGGAATAATAGCACCTACCTCTCATGGTTGTTGTGTGGGAGAAAAATGAAATAAAGCTTGTAAAGTGTTTTGCAACCCTTAAAGAACTGTAAAATACTAGTTGTTGTTGTCATTATTATTATTCAAGTAAGGCAACATTCCTTTATTATTAATAATAAATTGTAAGTCTAATAATGATCAACTTTATTCTATGTTGTACTTGATCCTTACCACAACCATGGAAGGGTAGCACATCGATGTGATTACCACAATTCTACGTATGAGAAAACTGAAGCTCAGAGAGGTTAGTGATTCTCCCGAGGACACACAGAAAACAAGTAAATAAGCAGGTGAGACAAGATTCAAATCCAGGACTTCCTGACTTCAATTTTCTCATTCTAGCCATTATGTGACATGAGCTATAGAAAAGTGAAAATGGCAGTTAGCAAATTGAAATTCACATCCAAAGTAATAACATTATGCATTTAGCAGGTTCTATTTACTCAGAACAAAAGTCTCTATGATGTAATAGGTATATATGACATGATGAATACACCAAAGTTTAGAGGTTAGGTTTTCTTAGGCCTCATCTGCTACTACTGATGCATCCAGGTAAAACCAGTATGTTTTCTCAGATTTCTGACCTCCAAACTCCTCCTTCTCTCGTTCTTCTTGTTTTTGTTCTCCTTCTTGTTCTTCTTGTTCTTCCCCCCACTAACTTTACTTATTATGTCACTTGTTTATAAATTGCATGTAAGCATTACTATAAAAATAATGTATGTTTTATAATTTATACAAAATAGAAATTAAAAAGATAAAAATGAAATATTATCCTAGAGTCAATAAGGAGTCACTCAACCTCTCTTCAACTAGTTGATTGCATATTCCTTGTAGATAGGCCATAAATCATCTCCTTCTTAGATGCTTGAAATAACTGTGTACCTGAAATACGACCTATAGCCATAAGCCAAGTGATGGATTAATAGTTGGCCACTTTTGAAGCTAAGTATAATTTAAAAAAAATAAAATGTGCAGATCGTTGCATAGAGCTATAGGTGTAATGAATATTAACAATAAGACTAAAAAATAATATATCATATTTACATAGATTCTTGCTTTTGAGGAAGTTACAGTGGAATTGCTATAAATGCCACACAAATGAAGAAAACTCAGAAAACAAAGCGACTTAATATAGACAAAAGGCAAGAGTACTAAGGGAATAAGATGAAAAGAGTGATTGGAGTTAGGATACTAGAACAACATATTCTTTTTCTCCGCAAAGATTTCTCTGATATCTTCTTATGCCGGCTGGCTGTCAAAATCTAATCTCTCTGTCCTTAAACTATTTCATACTGATACAGGGGCAGGGAGTAGAGAATATGTCATTGATTTATACTAACATACTATCTACTCTTTGAAAGACTCCAAAAGTGGGTGATTTCTTTGATGAGTAAAGCGGCAAGCAGAAGCTTCCTCACTTTACAGCAGGAAACTTATAGGTCTGCCTTACATGGAACATGTGAAACCTGAAAGGGCCGTAGAATCAAAATAAAAATCATAGAGTTTTACCAACAAGAGCAAAATAATATTATTAAACATAGACAAGGAGCCTTAGTGTAATAAGACTGCTTTGCAAATGAGAAATTATAGATAATTGCTGTTTGTTCTTATTTTCATAGAAGAGAGAGTAATTATTATTAACAAGCGGCTTGTTTCAATAATTATTTCTGGTTTTCCCAGGGTACAGATGCACTGAATTGAAAACAATGCCTTCTCATTCAGAGTTTTTGTTACTACATCATTGCTTATCGTTCAATGAGACCATGTATGTTTGCTTGTTTTGAAAGCCGGCAGCTGTCTGGTGGCATGTGACTGGGGAGGCACATTTTAAGCATTGCAGATAGCATCACTCTTTCACAAGCTTTCGAGAATTTTTCTTTCTTTTTTAAACCTCTAACCAGACAAGGTGTTGTGAGATCATTACATTGTTCAAGGGGAGAAAAGAGGAAGAAAACCTATATCTAAATATCATGTTTCATAACAAATTGCCAACAGTGAAATACATTGTCACATGTCCTGAAGATTTAATTATAAATTTACGTTAGACATCCAAGAGTTGCTTTGAAGTAATGGCAAAAAGTAATTCAGAACAAGTGATGAAACAAAATTTTTTCTTTCCTTTTTTTCCCTGTATTTTGTCCTAGTATAAAGAAGGATACTGTAGCGAGAACACTGAGCTTGAAGTCACATAACCTCAGTGATAATTTTTTTCCCCATTTAGTAGGTTTTTTTTTCTAATCACATGTAAAAATAGTTTTCAATATTCACTTTTATAAGATTTTGAGTTCAAATTTTTTCCCACTCTTCCTTCCCTCCCCCTCCCCAAAATAGCAAACAATCTGATATAGATTATACAAGTACAATCATATTAAACATATTTCTACATTAGTCATGTTGTAAAAGAAGAATTATAACAAAAGAGAAAAAAAAACACAAGAAAGAAAAAGAAACAAAAAAGTGAAAATAGTATGCTTTGATCTGCATTCAGACTCAAGAGTTCTTTCTCTGGATGTGGATAGCATGTTCCATCAAGAGTATTTTGGAATTGTCTAGCATCATGTATTACAGAGAAGATATAAGTGCATCAAAGTTGCTCATTGTGCAATGTTGCTGTTACTGTGTACAATATTCCCCTGGTTCTGCTCACTTCACTCAGCATTAGCTTATATAAGTCTTTCCAAGTTACTCTGCCTGATCATCATTTCCGACAGTATTTGATATGTTCATATACCATAATCTGTTCAGCCGTTTCAAAACTGATGGGAATTCCCTAATTTCCAATTCTTTGCCATTACAAAAACAGCTGCTATAAATATTTTTGTACATAAGAGTCCTTTTTCTTTTTTTTTTTTTTTGTGATCTCTTTAGGGTATAGACCTAGTAGTGGTGTTGCTGGATCCAAGGAGAAGTGAAGTTTTGTGCCTTAGGGCATAGTTTCAAATTGTTCTCCAGAATGCCTGGATCAGTTCACAATTCCACCAATAATGCATTAGTGTTTCAATTGTCCCACATCTTCTAAAACATTTATCATTTTCCTTTTCTATCATATTAGCCAATCTGATAGGTGTGAGACAGTGCCTCAGAGCTGTTTTAATTTGCATTTCTCTTATCAATAGTGATTTAGAACATTTTTATGTGACTGTAGATTTTTTAAATTTCTTCATCTGAAAACTTTCTGTTCATATCATTTCACCATTTATTAATTGGGGTATAACTCGTATTCCTATAAATTTGACTCAGTTCTCTACATATTTGAGAAATCAAATTATCAGAAACACTAGCAGCAAAAACTGTTTTGCAGCTTTCTGCTTTTCTTCTAATCTTGGTTGAATTGGCTTTCTTTGTACTAAAATAGTTAACTTAATGTAATCAAAATTATCCATTTTGCATTTCATAATGTTCTATATCTTGTTTGGTCATAAATTCTCCTGTTCTCCATAGATCTAACAGGTAAACTATTCCTCACCTTATTAATTTGCTTATGGTATCATATCATCTGCAAGGAGTGATATTTTGTTTCCTCATTGCCTACTGTAATTCCTTCAATTTATTTTTCTTCTTATTGCTATGGCTAACATTTCTAGTACAATATTGAATAACATGGTGGATAATGGACATCCTTATTTCTCCCCTGATCATATTGGGAAAGCTTCTAGCTTATCCCCATTATATACAATGTTTTCTGATAGATTCTACTTATCATTTTAAGGACAGCTCTATCAATTCCCATGCTCTCTAGTGTTTTTAATAGGAATGGATGCTGTATTTTGTCAAAAGCTTTTTCTACATTTATTGAGATGATCACATGATTTTTGTTAGTTTTGTTATTGATATAGTCAATTATAATGAGAATTTTCCTAATATTGAACTAGTCCTACATTCCTAGTATAATTCCCCTGTGGTCATAGTATATTATCCTGGTGATAAATTGCTGTGATCTGTTGGCTAATACTTTATTTAAAATTTTTACATCATTATTAAGTAAGGAAATTAGTCTATACTTTTATTTCTCCACTTTTACTCTTCCTTTCCTCAGCACCATATTTGTGTCACAAAAGGAATCTGGTAGGAATACTTCTTCACCTATCTTCTCCCCTTCCCCCCAAATAGTACATATAGTATTGGAATTAATTGCTCTTTAAATATTTGGTAGAATTCACTTGTAAATCGATCTAGTCTTGGAGATTTTTTTTTCCCTAGGGAGTATATTGATGGATTGTTTAATTTATTTTTCTAGAATTGGGTTATTTAAGTATTTTATTTCTACTTCTGGTAATCTGAACAATGTATATTTTTGTAAATATTCATCAATTTCACTTAGATTCTAAGATTTATCAGTTTATAGTAATGCAAAATAGCTTCTAATTTAATGTATTAATTTCTTCTTCATTGGTGGTGAATTCAACCTTTTCATTTCTGATACTGGGAATCTGATTTTCTTCTTTCTTTTTTAAAATCAAATTAACCAAATATTTATCTATTTTGTTGTTGTTGTTTTCCACATGAAACCGGTTCTTAGTTTTATTTATTAGTTCAATAGTTTTCTTACTTTCAATTTTATTAACCTCTCCTTGATTTTCAGAATTTCTAATTTGATATTTAATTAAGGATTTTTAATGTTATTTTTCTTTAGCTTTTTTAGTTGCATGCCAAATGCATTCATTGTCCCCTTCTCTATTTTATTTATGTAAACATTTAGAGAAATAAAACTTCCACTAAGAACTGCTTTTGTCTGCATCTCATAAGTGTTGGTATGTTGTCTGATTATTGTTCTCCTCTTTGATGAAATTATTGATTGTTTCTATGATTTGTTATTGGACCCGCTCATTCTTTAGGAGATTATTTAGTTTCTAATTAATTTTTATTCTATCATTCCATGCTCCCTTATTACATGTATTTTTATTGCATCTTGATCTGAAAAGGATGCATTTAATATTTCTGCCTTTCTGCATTTGATTATGAGATTGTTATGCTCTAATACCCAGTCAGCTTTTTCTGTAGGTGCCATCTACCACTGGGGGTCAAAATTTATTCCTTTCTATCCCCCATTCAATTTTCTCCAGGTCTACATATCTAACTTTTCTAAAAATCTATTCAACTCCTTAACATCTTTCTTGATTATTTTGTGGTTAGATGTATCTACTTCTGAGAGGCAGACGTCAAGGTCCTCCGCTAGTATAATTTTGTTGTCCATTTCTTCCTCTAACTCTCTTAACTTCTCCTTCAAGAATCTGCATGCACTTGATATATATATATATATAATATATATATATATATATATATATATATATATGTTTAGTATATTCATTGTCTATGGTACCTTTTAGCAAGATGTAGTTTCTTTCCTTATTTCTTTTAATTAGATTTTTTTTAACTTCAGTTGAACCATAATACATTATGCTCCAGACTTTTACCTTTACTCTGTGTGTATCTTTGCTTCAGATGTGTTTCTTGTAAACAATGTATTGTAGGATTATGGTTTTTAATCCACTTTGCTATCCATTTTCATTTTATGGAAGAGATCATCCCATTTACATTCATAGTTAAGATTA